TGACTATCAGATAAAAAAAAAGAGGAATAAACACTGGATGTTATCATTGAAAAACTATAAAATTTAATGGTTTAAAAATATTTTAAAATAAATTTGCACTAATTTTTTAATCTTTAGTAACCAAATATAATACTTGCTTATGATAAAAGAATTAAAAAAATACAAACAAGCAAATAAGAAGAAAATCCCACTACCCAGTTAAACATTTATATAAACAGTTATGTAAGCAAGGATATATAAATATCCTTCCAGATATTTTTCTTTCCATATGTATGTATATATAAATGTATATTTTTAATTTTAAAAATGAATTGTACAAAATACAGGAACTGTTTTCCTAATGGAATATTTAGGCAGCATCTTTCTACTCATATAAATGTATAGATCAGCATCATCAACATTTTTTTTAATTGCCAGTGGGTATTTTATGACTATGTTGTTGTTGTTGTTATGTGCCGTCGAGTCAAACCTGACTCATAGCGACCCCTCCTTGGGTTTCCGAGGCAGTATCACTACGGAAGTAGGATTGCCCAACCTTCCTTCCGAGGAGTGGCTGGTGGGTTTGAACCGCCAGCCCTCTGGTTAGCAGGCAAGTGTCTTATCCACTATGCTACCAGAGCTATACCATACTAAATTTAACCAATCTTTATGAGACTTATAAGACATTTTTAGGCCTGCTCCCTTAGTTTTTGCTAATGTGAGGAGCCTTGGTGCAGTAGTTAAAGTGCTTGGGCACTAACTAAAATGATTGACAGTTCAAACCCATCAGCTGCTGTGCGGGAGAAAGATATGGCAGTCTGTTTCCATAAAGATTTATGGCTTTGGAAACCCTGTGAGGCAATTCCTATAGGGTTGCTATGAGTCAGCAGTGGGTTAATACTTAAATGAATCTCTTTCAACATTTACATTTGCATATTTATTAGAATATTTTCTTACACTAAATACTTAGAAATGGAATTTCCATCCCAAAGATGTGCCTATTTTAAAAACTTTGTTTATGTATTGCTTAGTTGCCCTTTGGAAAGGTTGTACCAATGTACACATTTATCAGCAGCATCTCCAGCTATCATTCTTTTAACTTTTTGATTGTCTAAGTGAAAAATGTTTTATTGATTTAATTTCTTTGATTATTAAGTTGAACAGTGTTTTGCCACTTACATTATTTTTTGATTTATTTGCTAATTGTCTTTAGTATTTTTTTCCCAAGAGGTGAGAGTTTTTAATACAGCTTTGTTTAGAGTCGATGTTCTTTTTGTGTTGATTGGAGAAGTATTCAATTTTTACGTAGTCAGATCCTTCCATTCCTTTATGGGTTCTATATTTGGAGCCATGCCTACAAAAATCTTACCTTCTCTTGTTGTTATTGTTATGTGCCGTTGAGTTGGACCTGACTCATAGCGACCCCTCCTTGGGTTTCCAAAGCGGTATCACTATGGAAGTAGATTGCCCAGGCTTCCTTCTGAAGAGTGGTTGGTGGGTTTGATCCGCCAGCCTTCTGGTTAGCAGTCAATGTCTTATGCACTACGCTACCAAAGCTCCCTACCTTCTCTTAATATTATATAATTTTTCACTATTTTTTGTAGTTTCTTTGCAGTTTTATTTTATTTGGCATATAAATGTTTAAATTTTTATGGAAAAATAGGAGGCGGAAGAACTATGGGTGTAATTTTCTTTTCTTTATATTTACCAGTTAAATTTTTGTTACATATTAGTATGCATAATTCTTTTTTTCTTGCACCAAGAGCTGTCTAGTTGTGATACCTATTTTGGACCCCAAGATGTTCTATTTGGTAAAACTTTAACTTTTAAGATTCTTAGTTTCTGGTTAAGATTATAGTATTTGTAATATTTGGATAGTTTTTAGTAAGATTCTTAACTTTTTAGGAGTCTTTTTTCAAGGCCAGAGATTGCGTTACTTTTTTTTTGAATGGAGTACTATATGATATAATAATCTTGAAAAGAAATCTAATTCTATCTTTGGTAGTAATTCAGTAACAGTTTGTTCCCCAAATTAAGCATTGATTCCACATCATGGTCTCTGTACATATACATATAAGAAGTTTTGGTGGTACAATGCCTAAGGCATTTGACTGCTAACCAGAAGGTTGGTGGTTCAAACCCACCAGCTGCTCCACAGAAGGAAGATGGGGCAGTCTACTTCTGTAAGGATTTACTGCCTCAGAAACCCAGTGGGGGTTGCTATAGGTCAGAATTGACTTGATGGCAATGAGTTTGGTTTTATACATATACATATAGGTAGAACATATATATATATATATATATATATATATATATATATATATATATAATCAGGCTAGATTGTGTTGACTCTAAAAATCTAGAGTAATGGTTTTTAATACATGGTACATGGAAGTTTTCTAGCTAGTATACTTGGCTTTTCCTAATAATTATTAAAATTTTGCTGGTATGCTTATTACTAATAATCATAATATTATATATATAAGCATATGAATGCCCTAGATGAAAGGGGGATCTTGCTTTCTAATATGTATGTTCTTTACTAGAGTTATTGGTTAAATATGTGAAATTATGAATCACTTCATTTAGAAAATCTCTTGAAAACGTGAAGGAGCACCGGTAGCATAGTGGTTATTGCATTTGGCTGCTAACCAAAAGGTCAGTGGTTCAACAGATTAGGAAGTGTCACACTCCGCAGTCTCGAAACCTAGGAAATAGCCATGGTAATCAAAACATCCTGATATTGGTCCAATAACAAACACATAAGCCAGTGGAATAGAATTGAGAATCCAGAAATAGATCCATCTACCTCTGGACAGCTGATCTTTGACAAAGAGCCAAAACCCATTAAGTGGGGGAAGAGATAGTCTCTTTTAAAATAGTGCTGGCAAAGTTGGATATCCATTTGCAGAAAAATGAAACAAGATCCATACCTCCCATCATACACAAAAACGAACTCAAGATGGATCAAAGACGTAAATGTTCATCAAATAAAAAATAAGGGCAAACTTAAGGGCTCTAATTTATGGCATAAATAGACTGTCAATGATAACCAAAAATACACAAACAACAGAAGAGAAACTAGATTGGAACCTTCTAAAAATTAAATTCTTATGGTGCATCAAAAGACTTCTCCAAAAGAGTAAAAAGAGATCTTATAGATTGGGAAAAAATATTTGGCAATGACAAATCTGACAAGGGACTTATCTCCAAGATTTATAGAAAATTTCAACCCTCAACATCAAAAAGACAAGAAATCCAATTTAAAAAATGGGCAGAGGACATGAATATATTAATGAAGATATTTAGGTTGCCAGCAAACACATGAAGAAAGCTCACAGTCATTAGCCATTACTCACTCACTCACTTCCATTGAGTCAGTTTTGACTCATAGAGACCCCCTTAGGTTTCCATGGCTATAAATCTTTACAGAAGCAGATTGCCTTATTTTTCTCTCAGCAGTGGCTGGTGGTTTCGAACTGCTCACCTTTTGCTTAGGAGCTCAATGTCTTAACCACACTGACAAAAAACTCAAGAAAATCAAAATGACAGTGATATATATCATCTCACCCCAACAACAAAAAATAGCAAATTGCAACAAGATAGAAAACAACAAATGCTGTAAAGGTGTGGAAAGATTGGAACTCTTATACACTGCTGGTGGAACTGTAAAATGGTACAACCACTGGGTAAAACGGTATGGCACTTCCCTAAAAAGTTGGAAATAGAAATACCATTTGGTACAGCAATACCACTATCAAGAATATATCCTAAAGAGGTGAGATCTGGGACATGAATAGATATGTGTACCCCCATATTTATTGCAGCACTATTCACAATAGCAAAGACATAGAGACAGCCCAAGTGCCCATCAGCGGATGAACGGATAACCAAATTATGGTGCATATACATAATGGAATATATGCAACATTAATGAAGAATCCACGAAATACTTCATAACATGCATGAACTTGGAGGACACTATGCTGAGTGAAATAAGTTAATCACAAATATTGTATGAATCTACTATTATAAAAAATCAAGGAAAGTTTCACATAGGGAAATAAATTTTCTTTGTTGGTTACCAGGGATGGGAGTGGGGGGAGAGAAAATTGCTAGCTAGTTAAGAGACATGTATTGGTTTGGGTGAAGGGAAAGGCAATATAACAAAAGTGTGTGACCGGCAAATATCACTAAGGAAAAGGAAGAATGGAGAGGTGTACAAGAGGTACAGACCACAAAGGTAAATACTGTTACATACCCAATACTACATTATCAGTAATAACAGACATTAATCTACAGGTGGATACATAGGTAAAT